TTCTTTCTCATGATCTCCTTTCAGAGTTGGTTTAGGCATTCATGTTCTAAGTTTCTTGGGAGCAGAGTACACCTGCAGAAACTTCCACTGCTTGCATGAGCTTTTCTTCTAAACTGGAGCCACCTGTTCCCCATACAGGTCCCTCTTCTGACCAGAGCACACTTAGTTGCCAGATCGTTTTGTTTACAATTGCTTGCACCTGTGGCATGCTACTCCATTCAGACTGCTTGTTAGTTTCATACAATGTTAGTGTCATTTGCCTTGTTATATTTCCAATCTTGCTTGGCAGTCCTTTCTCTTTCCTTCTGAGCTTATACTCTGTGTGTTTTCCTGCAAAGGTTAACACTAAAAATATTCAACAATCAGTATGACACAGATATTGACCAAGCAACACAGATGCTGACCATAGCTCTTGCAAGGTCAGAGGCTCCCTGCTAGGTCGTATGTTACTGCTGTAGGTACTGGCCTGTGGGGTAGCCTTTGCAGGGAGCTTCTGGTGAGAGGGGCTAGGAAAGCCAGACAGTATGAGATTTTTCAGTGTATTTACCTGAAAGTATATGACCAGCACCATCATATACTGTGGCACCAGCCAAATATAAGCCCTTCCTGGCAGTGTCTTGTGTCTGCACAGGAAGGATGGAGGAATGAATAAGCATGTCCATAGGAGTGCTAATTAGATCTCTGACACTGTAATGAAATACCTACATGTCTTAGTTACTGTCCTATTGCTGGGAAGAGACACAATGACCAAGGCAACTCTTACAAAAGAAAGCATGTAATTGGGGGCTTGCTTACAGTTTGAGAGGATTTGTTCACGATCATCATGGCAGGAAGCAGGCAGGCACGTGTGGGAGCGCTAGCTGAGAGCTTTACATCCTGATCCTCTGCCAGGGGCAGAGAGAAACTGAGCCTGGCGTGGGCTTTTGAAACCTCAATGCCCACCTCCAGTGACGTAGTCCTCCAACAAGGTCACACCTCCTAATCCTTCCTAAGGAAACGGGGGCTAATACAGATGGTGCCGCAATGTGGGCCTGAGCATGGGTGGAGGGGGGATGGACAGACAAGACACGACACATACCAGAAATGATAGACGCAGCAAATGGACACCACGGATATAAAATGTGAAATGAGTGCTCCGATAAAGTGAAACGTGGTACATCAATCCCAGGAGTAAAATTGTATATAATTGTAGATATAAAACAAAAAAAGTTAGTCAAATGATTATATAGTCAAATGAAATATTCGGGTATATTTTAATAGCCAGCAAAACTGGGGTAAAGCAAAAGCCAGCACAAAAAATTTTAGAATTTATTAATTTTGCAAATACACCTCCCTTGTAAGGGAGTCGCCATTGCAACTATCTCAGAGCTGCAAGGGGCCTTGGGAAAGTGAAGATGCATCCACACATGCTCCAGGTCAACAGGACATGGGGTGCCATGGTCTCCGAGCTGCTACTGTGGCTGCCATTCACTTTGCAAGCAGCCACAGCCACTGCTGACCTGCGGTGAGCCCAGCCAGGCCCAGAGGGCAAAGGACACAGCTGAGGCCTCTGGTTCCTAGTCCTTGGCAGAAAGGCCAAGCCTCCAAGCCTGCAGCCTTGAAAACTACCTCTACTGCAGACATGCAGCCAAATGTATGGAAAATGCTAATTAATGCAGCCTGTCAGAAACTGCTTTGAAACCTTATAGAAAAAAGGCAACATACCTAAATTTATTCCAATTTTTTCAAATATTGGACCCTTATACACTTAGGGGTTAACTATGTCTGCTGTATTACAAGGGATGTCAGTTAAGGATGTTTTATTCCAACAAGCTAGTAATGGCCTAGGGAAAAGGAGGGCCAAGGGACCTCCTTGAAATTGCTTTGGATGTAGTCAACAAGGACACCAGGTCAGACAATGATTTAACAAGGTTTGGCAAGCTGCACTTCTCATGCCCGGCCTCCAGAGGCAGTCGGCGAGAAACGGCCAAAGCCAACACGGCCTGAGAGCCCAAGGAGCCTGTATGTATGGACAATTCAATAGCCTTTAAGAGAGGAGAGGATACAAAAATTCTTCACTTTTCGTGTTAAAAAAAAAAAATCTAGAGAATGGAAGTAAATTCAAGATTTTTAAAAAAGTTAATGAAACAAAGCCTCAGGGAACTGGCATTCTGTTACGCCCCACCTAACAAGGCATCTGTGAAAATACAAAGGAGAAAATACAGCTAATAAAAGCTTTGCAGCTTGGATTAGAAAAAACTACTTACGAACTTTAAATAATTTTCAAAAATTATTGAAAGATATGACCCTATTTAAAAATGTCTACAGGGGATCTTGACCCCCTCAGTGAGATTCTTAAGGGCAGTTGTGACTCTGGTTCCTCTAGACAGCTCATGGAAGATGCTAGGCAAATGCTGACTCAAATGGAGCATAAAATTGACATGCCCATGGAGCCTTAAAAAAAAAACTTCAAAAAATAAGTAAAGGGAAGTTGTACCCCTAGTCTCCACATAATGCATTAAATCATGAACTCTTCATTTCAGATCTTCTGAATTAGGATGCCCCTGAGCAATTTGCCATGGATAGATTCTGGCATGATGGCATGCAAGTGACTTTCACTCAAGTCAAATGGAAAGATGCTTGCACTGGCTTATGGAAAGGAGCTGGTTCTGTTTTAATATGTGGTCGAGGGCATGTTTGTGTTTTCTTGAAGGAAGAAAATGAGGCTCGATGGCTGTTGGAATGTCTGGTGTGGTGAGTGGAGCAGAGGATTGCCAGGCCTGATGATATGGTAACTACTGGAGCCCCCCAAACAAACTGGAATGAGATCTGCTGAAGTTGTAGTCCTGACCCTGTGATGTCATCATTCTACAGTCTGAGAAGGGAAGGAGACTATGGTTGGAGATTTCTAGTTTTTCTTTTTTTTTTCTTTTTTGTTTTTTTTCGAGACAGGGTTTCTCTGTGTAGCTGGAGCCTATCCTGGCACTCGCTCTGGAGACTCACAGATATCCGCCTGTCTCTGCCTCCTGAGTGCTGGGATTAAAGGCGCATACCACCAACGCCCAGTAATTTCTAGTTTTTCTTTTCTTTTTTTTTTCTTTAAAGATTTTATTTATTTATTTTCCATTCATCATCCTGCTTCCATGTATATCTACACACCAGAAGAGGGCACCAGATCTCATAACGGATGGTTGTGAGTCACCATGTGGTTGCTGGGAATTGAACTCAGAACCTCTGGAAGAGCAGTCAGTGCTCTTAACCTCTGAGCCATCTCTCCAGCCCGATTTCTAGTTTTTCAACAAACCCGCTGCATCAATTTCCCACACCTCTGCGAGTTTTAATTATCCTGGATCTGGCCAAGGACTGAATGTCTAACAGTTTATCTACACTATATCTTGGAAGGCCATTTCATTTTGATCATCCTTTATACCTTTAAAAGGAGATATTGTAGCCATAAAAGCATATGTATTGCTTAGCATTATCAAGCTTGCTTGTGAACTCTGGATGAAAAGTTGTCTCAGAGGTGCATGATGTCAAGCTACACCCTCCCCCCCCCCAAACACACACACCTTTTTTAAAATTACAGAATGTGGTAATCAAAGACAGGTAAGATCTTTTTTCCCTCCAGGCATTCTAAGACAGGTCACACACGACAGAATGCATGTTCTAATGACGGGTAAGGCTGAAAGGTAAAAGAAGACAAATTAAGATAGACAGAGTTGTCTTTCCTGTGACAGAAGCACAGTTATTAATTAGTTAAACTTAGAAGGGGGAATTGTGGAGGCCCATAAAAATGGCTTAAGGTCAGAGAGTAAGATCAAGCGTAATATGAGCCAAATGTGAGTGAATGTGGCCTGGGGACCCAGATTCAGGCTTCACTGAATGGTACATTCATTGTGGAAGCAGTTACATGAATTTGTAATAACAGACAAATCAAGTATTTGCCAAATATACTGGTGGGAACACCAGGTAGGTGGGTTACAATTAAGTAGGGGAATCCCTGTTATATGTTTCTGGTGCTGTTGGATAACATTTTTAACTTTGGGGGCGATTGACGGAACTACAGGTCTGCTCATGACTGGATGCATTCCAAAAGTTTCCCTGATGGAATCATGTCTGGTCAGATACATGGGTGCATAACAGCAAGGGGACTGAGGACAGACAGCTCAAGGTAATCTGGCTCTTCATCTGCTACATCCCAACTCTCCAAAGCCACACAAGTCCTAAGTGGTCTGTAGCATCAACATGGGTGAGGCTGTCTCAGGGAACTGCAGTTCACTTTACTAATCAGCTCCGTTCTAACCCCGAGATTTTAGTGAGAGTCTGAATTTGCCCTCACAGTGGCAATGGGGTTTAGGAGCTATTCTTTCCCGACAGGAAATCTAGTCTTTTTCTTTGGCTAGTACTCCGGAGTCCAAGGCACGAAGGCAAGTCTCAGCTCTTTCTACTGCTTCATTGCTGGAAACTTTTAAATGATTTTTTTTAATCTTTTAAGAATTTCATTTATTTTGATCGCCATTTTGTTGGATCCTACGAAGGAAGTTCTAACGTTTGGCTTCATCCCGAAAGGCCCCACAGACAGTTGTAAAGGACTGCACCAGTAGCTCTGAGAATCGCAGTCAGGGCTGGATGTCAGAATTATTGAGGGGATTTAGGAGCAGCAGGGACAGGCCACATTCCTGAGAGCGATGCACAGGGAGGGACCCAGACATCAGTGTTTTTGGATTCTTTAACCAAGTCTATATGTATAGAGCCGAGAACCATGAACTGGGTGTAATCCTACTGATTCATAATTTGACACACAAAAATATCATTGACACAAACATTTTAGGAGTATTAGCAAAGGCCAAATATTATACACACATACATAAAACACTCAGTCACACACACACACACACACACACACAAAATCAGTTCTCCCCTTCTTTCCACACCGGCATGGTGTGGGTGTTCCATAAACAATGCATATTATTGGCACATAAAATTAAGCAAAACTCATACGAAACCTTTGAGAACAATAATGAAATACTCTAAAAATATGTTTATTGTAACTAATGAATATAAAAATCTGACAGATGTTTTCAAACATTCTCCAAAGGAAGTAAAACCCTCCCCTGCCCCACTTCCCATGAAATACAGAATAACAACTTGGACAGAGAAGCAGACACATTTGCACACAAAATTTTCACTCAACAATTGGCCCTAAAAGGCTCCAATACATTTCTAAATAAAGGCCCATTACACTAAGCAGCCACGGTTGTCTGATGCTTTTGGAGTTTAACTTGTTTCCTATCAGCATTATGATGTTCATCCAAAATACTGAGAGACAAGAAGAGGTGACACAGGGTTCTGTGACAGACACTCAGCATGTGGCTCTGCAAAACTACAGACATTCATGAGGGTACGACTGCAGAACTAAACATTAATGTAGAAAGGAATCCAAGAGAATCTATGTATAGTTGAGCCTTTGGCGTCTGGTGTGACATGTTTGTTCTTCATAGAGACACCACACTGTTCAATTTATTAACCAGAATAAATTTCTCTGAACACATTTCTCACCTAACACAGATTGTCCACAGCCAATTTCACATGAGGTAGTTGGGCTGCCGAATGACATTCTAGTGAAATCTCATGACACATGGGAATCACACATTACCCGTGTCATGAAGCTGGCTCATCTGCCATCTAGCTCACCTTGCTCTTCACTGACTCCACCCACACCTGTGGACACATACATGGGGTTCTGTGCGGATGAGATCAGCTGTGCAATGAGGTCACCATGCTAGGTTGATGGAACCATCCACCACAGGGTGAGGGGATCACCCTGCCCAGGGGTGTGCATAAGGTAAGGTGAGGAGGACACTGACCACACTTGAAATACACAAGACATTTAAATCAAGCAGGATATTATGTCCCCTTCCCCCAGCTTGGCTAGAAACACTGATCACTCTGAAAAGTGACTCAGGGATTTACAATTTACAAGAATTCTGAAAACCTTGCATTGCAGAATAGTGGCATTTGTTCCTTTCCAGTAAAGGCTATATATAGACAATGGAGAAGAGAGATCAATGCATGCTGCCTGTACCTAGATTTCTTGAAGACAGCTGTGTAGCAAGAAACCATGCAAATGGTCTGCAGGATGGTCTAGATGGGGTTGGACTGGAACATTGATGGGGAAGGGCAAGTGGAAGGACTCTCAGCTAACATTACACATCTATAAGCTTGTTATAAGTCTTCCAATACCATCAGACAGCTATCGGATACTCATGCTGTTCCTGTGAAACCCGAGTAAGCAATTGCAGATTACAAAGGGTCACACAGAAGTAGAACACGTCTCAATACAGCCTTCATGTGGACTTCTGGGGTCTTGTGCAAGTATACTGTGCAGTGTCACAGAGCATCTCAGGTCCAGCTGGCTCTCTATGGCCAAACACATTAGATTGCTGAACTGAGGTATAGCTCAACACCTATTGCAGTTACTTAGAAACTCTACATCTAGAAACCTGCAACTCTAAAAATGTGTGCTAGTGAAATGAAACATGAGGGTAGAGATGTGAACTGCTGTAAACCTGTGACTAAATCAGAAGCAGTGGTTTGAATCAATGATTCAGAAACAACATGACAGGATCCCGTCCCCCTAGGATATAGTGGTTTAGTAGGAAATTCACCAAAACCTGTTCTTCAGAAAGTCTCCAAAATATCTTATATCTTGTATTGCTCCAAATCCTCTCATTTCTCTGTTGCTTTATCTGAAAGCTCTCCATATATGTGACCTTTACAATGGGACTAGTTTTCTTTAAGAAAAATTCTTCAGCACTTCTTGCTTCCAAATTTAACAAAGTGCATTGAATTTACCAATCCCACCATACACTGCTTACCTAAAACTACTATTCAGCAAGTAGAAAGCTGAACACACTAACACAGTATATGGACTAATCAAAGGCAGAGGATGGACTTCCCAATGGCCGGCACTCAGCTCTCCCACTGTCACCTTCCCCCACCTAACAGCTATAAATGTGAACATGGCTTCTGCCCTAGGCTCTAGCAGTTCGGGTAGGTAGGTAACAGATCCTGGACCAGGTGGGCTGCTGCTGAAGAAGGGGAAACAAAGAGCTAAGAGAGGAATCACTGTAGCAAGCTGATGGCGGAGGGGGCAGTTCACTGGTAGCAAGGCTCGGTAGCAGAGAAGAAAAAAAGCCTCATGGCTGAAACAGGGGGTACAGGTGATGCTCCCTGTTACGGGAAGTGTCATGAAAGTGACAATGCCATGCTCACAATGACTTGTACATAGTAACAAGCCACTACATACCCAGAGCACCCTTCCAGCTCCCTTCTAGACTATGTCAAGAGCTGCCATGGGAATCACCTCTGCCTCTGTTAACAAGCTGGTTTCCACCCTCAATGGGGTCACACCTCTAAGTATCTTTCAGTAGGTTTTAGTTATAATCAGATTTGTTTTCAAAAGACAAAAGGCTTGTCACAATTGAAAAGCCTTTTTTTTCAGTTTAATACACACACTGATGCCACCCAGTGTGGAGCTGAGCTTCATGGGCTCGGGGTGAAGAGCAGACTGAGGGCGTGGTGGCGGGGCAGTGCTCCTTAAGGGGTCAGCCAATGCTACTTAATCAATTCTGCTAGAGTCGAGGGAGACACACTTCCATATTCTCCAGCTTCTCCCTTACATTTATGCTAGGAAAATAATCCAAAACTGTTGTTGGCATTGGAGACAAGGTGAGCACTCTGTTAACACACACACCGGTTCTTCACTTGCTGGGGGAGGGTGGCTTAGGGACTCCAGAGCTCTTGGAAGGGCTCCCTGGAGCACTTTCAGGATCTTTTGTTATTACTGCTTTCTTAGAAAGTAACAGAAATAAAAACAGTAATCAGAAAATAAAAATCTGACTGTAACTAAAAGGAGAAACAGCCAACAACTACCAATCCAGGTGGAATGGACCTACACACTCAGACTGCCCTCAAGCAGCTTTCTTTTGTGTGCACTTATAGGCTCAATGAAGACCAGGGTGTCTTCAGAGTGCCCCACCTCTGGGCTCTGGTAACTATAGAGGCAACCGGGGCTGCTTAGCATCATTTTCCTGGTAGCACAGTCCACAGATGGCTCACACACTCTCAGGGAGAAGTAGATTAGCTACCTCTTCTCTTTCTGGTCTTAAGTGTTATGCCATGGGTGGGAGGTCTAAATCTGAGCCCCTCCCTTAGATTTCCATTTGCCAGGGAAAAGGAACCATATGAGGGTCTTGTGGGTGCAAAGTAGCACACTGTCAGTAATTTCAGCCCCTTCCTCCTGGTCCTGTTTACTTCTAGAACTTCTCATGTGGGCAAAATGCTTGCTTCACTTAAATTTTTTTATTAAAAATATTTTTAAGAGGCAAGGTTTTGCTATGTTGCCCAGGTTACCCTCCAAACCCTGGGATCACGTGATCTGTCCACCTCATAGCCCTGAGCAGCTGGGATTACATGCACCACTGTGGCCAGCTCTCTGCTTCATTAATCTGAGTTAATGTCCACTTGCTACAGACAGACAGAAGAAAAAACCCAGCGCCTTTCCCTGGACAGAGTTCTCTTCAGAGCCCTAGTATGTGCTGCAGCAAAAGCAGCTCCCCTCACCTGGACCTGGCAAAGGGCTCACTTCCTCTGGGGACTGCTTATGCTGGAACGGCCTTTTTACTAGGAGGAAGTAGCTCTCCTGGGGAAGGCACTCATGGCTTCTCCCCTGTGCACACTCTAGGCAGCTCGGCCCATTGCTGGGAGACAAGGGCACCTTGTCACTTTTTATAGAAATGCCACAGCAATGTTACACAAGCTGCTGGCCTACTTGCTCTTCATTTAATTATTTTACTTGAATGATGGCCCCCTTCCTTCTGGGGGTTAAGGGATATATCATTTGGTTCTTGCAGAGAGTTGGAATTCTGAAAACTAGAATTCAACTGGGTAGCTCTTCAACTTTGTGTACTAGAGTATTGCCTGGGAAGGTTATCAGCCAGCAAATTCCTGCTTCACCTCCAGATGTGGGTTCTCCACTTAAGGGCTAGGCCTTATCTAGATCACATTTGAAAGCTACTTGGCTCTTTTGCTGAAGAGAGTTCATGAAGCTAGGCAAAAAAAAAAAAAATTATATATAAATAAATAAAAATAAAACCAAGAGAAACAAGATACTTCATGAATGTGAGCAGACCTTCCTATTATAAACTTTACTACTGAAGTATGATAGAAATCCTCTTTAGTGTCACTGTTGTTATGATGTCCAATTCACATAAAATGCAGGAATGGTATTGGCAAAGAGTGGCGTGTGTTACACAAACAAGTTACCCCAACTTTCTATTCTGTTCTCAAGCACGGGGGAGGGGGAGTCATCTCCTTTGAGCCACTGTCCCACCTGACAACAGGCGAGGCAGTCCTTGTTAGTGTTTTCCCACAACACAAGGGCTGTGTCTTTAGTACACAGCCCTTCTCATCAGCAGAGTCACAGAGAAGGCACCCACTCAGGACAGTCTAGGAATAACAAACTATTACATGGCAAGTCCTTTCCAACAAAGGGGCTTTTACTCCCACCAATGCTCAGTCAATGTCTAAGCTATTTTAAACAGTGGCTTTGTATTATAGTCCTGCATACTTCTTAGATTTGGATGGTCCATTGAAACTAATAACTGAAACAATAATACAAAATGTGATCCCAACAAATTCATTTGTCAATTTTGCTCTTACTATTTGCTATTCAAGTCTGTGATAGCTATGATTTGGTTTCCAGTAGGCCTGTTGAACTGAAATATTTAGCACCTTGATTTTTAAACACATCAAACACATTCTCATTAAAACAATTCTATAAAATACTAGGTTTCACTTCCTCCTATCCATCTCCCCAAAGAGAGGAGTTGAAGAGCATCAAAACTGCTGGAAATTAACTAGGGCAACTCAACACGTTAGCAGACTTTATTCCCTGAAGGTAGGAGGTGCTGTTCTGTAGCTGTCACACCACCTCATCAGACTCCAGCCCGTGGATCTCATATAAAGTGTCCAGGATGGCCAGCTGCTTTTCCATAGCAGGGAGGTAAAGACTGAGGTCCCTCTGCATCCCAGTGCTGAAAGCTTCTTTCTGGTGGTCACCTTCTTTTACGGTTAGTGCAGCCACAAAATCTTCATAAGATGGTGCTGCCCTCAGTGCCAACTGCAAAAGAGTTTACCTGTGAGGATCTGCAACACGACTGTCACTTGCATATTTACTACAAACATACAGAGGGTGGGCAGGAGGGGGAAGGAGGAGAGGGGAGCCGAGGAAGAGCAAACAAATACAAATGCCCTTCTAATTCACAGATTGCACCAAATCAAGTAACTTCAAGGCTATCTACTTGGGCCAACTTAATGATGAACGATGCCTTGAATCCTCACAAGTATGCACATCTGTCTGTCAGCATGTGTTTGTCCAGCCTTCCAGAGCACTTTTATTTTTATCTAACTTACAAACACATTTCTTTTGTCTTCATATCTCCTATTATTTCTCAATATGGATAATGTTTCCTGTAATTCTTTGTATATTTTCTAATAAAGAAGGGAACTTTTGATGGTAATAATGATTGTTAACTTGACAGGATATAGGCCTAGGAGATAAACTTCTTGGCATGTCTGTAAGAGAGTTTCTAGACTGGTTGACTGAGGTAGGAAGACCCACATCATAAATGTGGGTGGCATCATTACATGGGCTGGAGTCCCAGATGAAAGAAAAAGAAGCAAGGAGCCAAGCAGCAACAGTTATCTCTTTCTTCCTAAATGTGGATGCAATGTGACCAACTGTCTCATGCTCCAGTGTTTAGAACTATATCCCTTAAATATAAGCCAAATTAAATTCTATTTCTTAAGCTGCTTTTGTTGGAGATTTTGCTTCAGTAAAGCTAAAAGTAACAAATACAAAAAAAAAGGATACCAGGAGTGGGGTTGTTACTTGATGAAACTGACCTCCTGTTTCTTGGATCTTTGGAACTGATTTCTGTAAACAATGCAGAACTTTGGAACTTCAGACTAGAAAAGTCTTAGGATGCTGTAAGTAGAGCTTAGTGGAGTGTTCCAGTGGGTGTCTGGGAGATTAGGGTTACAATAGAACTGTGGGCAGTAGAGGTCCAAGTGATGTAGTTTCAGAGGGAAACAAGAACTCTACTGGGAACTGGATTAGACGTCATTCACACTGTATTCTGGCAAATCATCTGGCTGAATTTTGCCTGTGCTGAGACACTGAGTGAGGCTGAACTCAAAGGCAATGGGCTAATCTTTATGGGAGAAGAAATCTCAGATAGAATAGTTTGATGGTTTGAATGAAAATGGACCCCAAAGGGAATAATACTATTTGAAGGTGCAGCTTTGTTGGAGTAGGTGTAGCCTTGTTAGAAGAAGTGTGTCACTGTGGGGGTGGGCTCTGAAGTCTCTTTTGCTTTAACTTCACTCAGTGTGATACTCAGTTCAATTCCTGTTGCTTTTGGATCAAGATGTGACCTCTCCAGCACCATGTCTGCCTACACCGACCGCCATGCTCTCTGGCATGATGATAATGAACTAAACCACTGAAACTGTAAGCCACCATCTCAATTAAATGTTTTCCTTTATAAAAATTGCCATGGTCATGGTGTGTCTTTGCGATTATAGAAACCCTACCTAAGAGAGATAGCATTCAGGCTATGGCATGCCCTGGTCCAGTTCTATAGTCAGAGAACAAAAGGGGGCAGAAATGTATTTGTCATGGAAAAGAAATCCAAAGCTGTAGATGAGGCTAGTACCAAGAAAGAAGCTAGAATAATACAAAGATTAACACCTTAAAGAAAAAAATCTGAGACAACAGGAAAGGTATCCTGAGGGAAAATCCTACCTAACAAAATCTCCATCTTGTGTAAATACAAATTTATTTGAAGGGAGTCCCTGAATTGAGAATACCACCAAAGAGGTTCCCCAGTGAACAACTACCACCTAGGAAGTGTTTCCCCAGGGTCAGTCTGTATGGTACACAGGGACCCATACAACTGAGTACTGGGAAGCCAGCTACATCTTGCTGCTGACAGCAAAACTTGGAAATACTGTCCTTGTGTTACTGGTCTTATAGCCGAGACAGACGCCAAGACTGAAGGATTCATGTAGGTTTGACAGAGGTTCCAGATGGCCTCTGAGGCTAAACTATATGAGGCAAAATTGTATTCCTTTGACCCCAACTAAGAATCTAGGCAGTGGTGGAGAAGCTGCCTTTGATGCCCTTCCCATAATGAGATTGATGTCTAACCTGGTTACCATTCCTAGAGCCTTCATCCAGTAGCTGATTGAAGCAGAAACAGGCACCCACAGCTAAACACTGAACCATACTCCTGGAATCCAGTTGCAAAGAGGGAGGAAGGATGAGCAAAGGAGCCAAGACTGTTCTGGATAAACCTTCAGAACATTTGACCTGACTGACCTAGTGAACACACAGAGACCCTAATCATAAAGCTGGAGAAACAGCATTGGACCGAACCAAGCCCTCTGAATGTGGGTGCCAGCTAGGAGGCCAAGGCAGTCTATGGGACCTCTAACCGTGGAGCCTGTGTTTATCCCTAGAGCACAAATGTACTTTGGGAGCCCATTCCCTATGGAGGGATAATATTGCAGCCCAGATACGGGAAGGAGGGTCTAGGCCCTCCCCCAAAGGATGTGACAAACTTTGATGATACCCCATGGAGGGCCTCACTATCCCTGGGGAGTGGGTTGGGGTGGGTTTGGGGGTCAGTGGGGAGCATGGGAGGATGGGAGGGCAAGGGAATAGGGGGATGGAAATGTAAATAAGAGTCCTTCTAAAATAAATTTTAAAAATGTTAAAAAAAAAGAAGGCCTGGAGAGACCACTGCATAGAGCTGCAAATGTGGAGCACATGGTACAATGGAGACTCAGGATACTGGAGATGCCACTGAGGAGAGCTACAAACGTGGATTAGCGGTGGCTCAAGAGAAAGGCTCTATGGGCTGCAGGTAGCAGAGCTGCAGGAGCAGGGCAGTCAAGCACTTCATTTGGAGCTGCAGAATTTGGTGTTTTCCCTGCTGGTTTTTGGGGTTTTTTTGGTCTGACATTCCTGGGTTATACCCCAACTGTTCTCGTCTGGAATTGGAATGTTTACTCTGTGCCCTACTTTGTAATGTTGAGAATGTGATTTGATTTTTTTTTTTAATTTTACAGAGGCTCAATGTTAAATATATTGACTGGGTCTCATAAGAGACTTACGAGCAATTTTGGAATTGTTAAAGACGACAAAATGAGGACTTTTGAAGTTGGACTGAGTATATTTTGTCAGGCGCCCACAGTAAAAAGGGGAGACTTAAGACGGTAATAGTGCTGGCCTGACAGTATATAGAATCACTAAAGGGACAATCGAGTGGGCAGGCATACCTGTGAGTTTCAAGTGTCAGTTAAGGTTGGAGAGACCAACTCTCAAGGTGGGAGGCACTATTCCATGGACTGGGGTCCCAGTCTAAATGAAGAGAAAGAGCCAGCATTCATCTCTCTGCTTCCTGACTATGGAAGCAATGTGACCAGCTGCTCAGGATCTGTTGTCATGGCTTCTCTGCCATGGCAGTATCCTCAAACTGTGAGCAGAAATGAGCTTTCTTTCCTTAAACTGTTGCAGCAATAAGTAACTAATATAGAGATAACATCTGCTTCTATGGAGATATTTTAACATAATTTATAAGAACCATGCAGACTTTCTATCTCTATTCCTGTAGAAACACTGTAAGTCTCAGGAATACCAGGGCAAGGACTGAAACCTAGGCTCACCCTGTGGTTCTCAACCCCACATCATGTTTCTTCTCGGTGGAGGACTTCCCAAGTTCTCCCCCACTGCTTCTTGTTGCAGTCTGGGTAGTCGGGCTATTCCCAGCTTGCCCAATCCTCTTTCTGAATTTCACTAGGATTGGCTCTCCTGAGACAGCAGAGGATCTCCAATGGTTCCCCTTAAATCCTGAAAGCCTTTGAGACTCCCTCCTCCCCATCTGTGAAGCAGGAGTGGCTTGTTTGATTGAGGCTCAGATTGTTCACATACTCATTTGAAGAATTTAAGCAAAGTGCTTAACTTAGAACCTCACTTTCCTCACCTATGGAAGGCAGCTAAACTTTTTCTTATTTTAAAGATTAAGAGTATATAAAGGTGTTTTATCCAAAGCCTGGCACATAATTGGCATTCAGAAGATAGTGTAAGTATAAAGGAGAGAGACAGACAACAAGGTAGTTATTTAAAACACAGTGTAGAAAATCTTCCAGGACTGAAGGGCAGGCCCTGCAATTTGAATGATGAAAAACAGAAAAGCTTATCATGAAAATTTAGAGTGTAAAGAAAAAGAAAAGAATATAGGATTATCAACATCCTTAGCCATCAGGGAAATGCAAATCAAAACAACTCTGAGATACCATCTTACACCTGTTAGAATGGCTAAAATAAAAAACACCAATGACTGTTTATGCTGGAGAGGATGAGGAGAAAGGGGAACACTCCTCCACTGCTGGTGGGAGTGCCAACTTGTACAGTCACTTTGGAAATCAGTATGGCGATTTCTCAGGAAAATGGGAATCAGTCTACCACAAGATCCAGCAATTCCACTCTTAGGCATAGAACCAAAAGAAGCACATTCATACAACAAGGACATCTGTTCAACTATATTCACAGCAGCACTATTTGTAATAGCCAGAAACTGGAAGCAACCTAAATGCCCCTCAACTGAAGAATGGATGAAGAAAATGTGACAACACACAATGGAATCTTGAAATTCACAGGCAAATGGATGGAACCAGAAGAAACCATTCTGAGCGAGGTAACCCAATCACAAAAAGACAAACATGGTATGTACTCACTCATATGTGGATTTTAGACATAGAATAAAGGATTACCACCCCACAATCCACACTGCCAGAGAAGCTAGGAAACAAGGAGGACCCTAAGAGAGACATACATGGTCCCCTGGAGAAGGGAAAGGGACAAGATCTGAGAAAATTGGAAGCATGGAGGGAGGGGAAGGGGAATTAGTAGAATGAGAAGGGGAGAAGAGGAGGGGTGAGGAGAACATGATGGGGCAGGGAGGTTGAGTGGGGGAAGAACATAGGAGAGCAAGATAAGAGATAGTATAATAGAGGGAGACATTATAGGTTTAAAGAGAAATCAGGCACTAGGGAAATGTCTGGAGAGCTACAAAGATGACGCCAACTAACAATCTAAGCAACAGAGGAGAGGCTACCTTAAATGCCCTTCCCTGATAATGAGATTGATGACTGACTTATATGCCATCCTACAGCCTTCATCCAGCAGCTGGTGGAAGTAGAAGCAGACACCCACAGCTAAACCTTGACCTGAATGAAATCCAGTTGCAGAGAAGGAGGACTGATGAGCAAAGAGGTCCAGACCAGGCTGGTGAACAAGGCAGAGCTCTTGGTCCCCAGATTGATACCTAGGAAACCAGCATGGGACTGATCCAGACCCCCTGAATGTGGGTGTCAGTAAGGAGACCTCGTAAATCTATGGGGCCCCTTGTAGTGGATCAGTACTTATCCCTAGCATAGGAATGGACTTTGGGAGCCCATCCCACATGAAGGGATACTCCCTGAACCTAGACACAAGGTGGTGGGCCTAGGACCTATCCCAAAGGATATGACAGACTCTGAAGATCCCCTACAGAAGGCCTCACCCTCCCTGGGGATCAGAAAGGGATTGGGATAGGTAGGGTGTTAGTTAAGGGAGGGTAGGAGGGGAGGGAGAGGGACCTGGGATTGACATGTAAAATAATCTAATTAAAATAAAACAAATTAAAACAACAACAACAACAACAAAAAAACACCAAACCTAATCATAACAAATCAAAAAAAATATAGGATTATCTTGATGGCAAGTATAGTTGATATAGAGTGGGGCAAGAATTACATTGAATTTTCTAGTAGTGATAGTGGGAGCTGGAGACAATAGTTGAGCCTTCAAAATTCCTCAGGAAATAACTGTTAGTTTAGAAGTCTTCACCTAGCCAGACTAGCACTCTAGGAAAAAGAGGCAGGGCCAATGCTAAGTTCAACTCTCCTGATGGGGGAGGTCCTTCTGTGTATGTTTGTCTTATTGGCTGATAAATAAAGCACTGTTGGCCAATAGGGAAGCAAGTTAGACAGGACTAGGAGAGAAGGAGGATTCTGGGCAATGTAGTAAACAGAAGTTGCCATGTGATCCCTGCGAAGACAGGATGCACAAGGCCGGCGTCCTCGATAAGATAAGCCTTTATAAAATATATAGATTTATGGTTATGGTTGATACTTAGGACAGAGATAGCAATAAGAAACCCTAGTCTTTGGCCAACAGCATTGTAAAATATAGGACCCTGTGTGCTATTTTGGTGCCCAATGTGGTGGCGGAACTCAGATGGCTTGTGGAAAGAGTTATCTTTACACTTTCCAATCTGGCTAAAGAACGATACAGGAAGGTCAAGTGACAGCTGGGTATCAACAAGCTGGTGGCAGAAGTGTGGCTGGCATTTATGCAGACTTGACATGTTTGAGGATTAAAGTTCACTACTTGGTTGGCAAATTAGTCAGATCCCAGGGATGGAAAGATGGTTTCTCTGAACAACTGAGATTGCACACTAAAATGCAATAAGCACTGTGGCAAAATGCTTGAAATCAGGTACTGCTTAAATACCAGCAACCTCAAATCCTGGACACTGTCTAAGGCTGTCAACTGCAGATGGGCTATCTCCCTCTGTGTCGGGTCTCTGTCTATAGCAGGGAAAGTAAGAGTTATCTCTGTGTTAGGAGGGTAATAACTTTATGGCTCTTAAACACTGAAGAGTGCACAATAATTACCGAACTCTAAAGATATTTGATAGGCAATTCTTTCAGCAGTCTACTTTAGGGAAATATGAACTTTAGTAAAAGAATGTGTGTGAGCAGATTCTATGCTGCTGCTATGAACAAACTCACAAATTATGGGATATATGCAGCCACTAAAAACAGGATTTTTTTTTCTCAGACTTTCATGGTATTAAAACAGTCCTAACAAGGACTGGTGCAATAGTGCCTGTTTAGGCTTGATCATTAGCATCACAAACAACAACAAAGTCACCACAGAATCTATTAAGTATGGCTAAAGACTATAGAATTATACTATAGCTAAATAGAAAAATAAGGATACATACATACATACACACACACACACACACACACACACACACACACACACACACAGTCCATAAACATGTGGGTATATGTATAATTAGAACTACATATTTAAAGAAATATATAAATTAGATCAGTATTTAAAAGATTAATCAAAATTGTCTGGGGGTGGTTTTCAAGACAGGGTTCCTCTGTGCCTTTGGAAGCTGTCCTGGAATTAGCTTTTGTAGACCAGGCTGGGCTCGAACTCACAGAGATCCGCCTGCCTTTGCCTCCCAAGTGCTGGGATTAAAGGCGTGCTCCACCACTGCCCAGCTTCAAAATGTATTTTTTAAAAAGCTAAGGAGGTGAAACAAAATGTCAGGAAGGAGAAAGGCAGGTAGCAGATGAACACATACACAAGTGTCTTCACTGTGTATGTGATAACAACTGTTTTAGAAATTACTAGCTCTGCCTGCTGTCATGTACTCACACAGTTAATATTTGAAGATAAAAATGACAACAAAAATGAACTAAGAGCTGAGAATGGACTGGGCTAACAGAATAGGCAGCAAAGAGAGCTGTTAGCTAGAACTCTTAGTGGACTTAATTTCTCCTTGGTGGTTTTGAAACCACAGCCCAGCTTCTTATTCCCTCCAGGAAGACAGCCACTTCAGAGACACAACTCCAGTATCACTGAAACGATCTCATTCATAAGTCTTTGCTGGTCTTTGTGAATATTGATACTTTCTATTGCTGACATTTCCACATTCTAAGGGACTACAAACATAAATGAGCTGGCAATTTTTGTCTTGTCTCCAAAACTAAAACAAGCAGAAATACCACTAAACAAAAGACACATTCCTGATCACAAAAACTTTAGAGGACAGGAATGACTTACCGCAAAAACCCCTCGAACTACCCAGCCATGGTGTTGCCGTAATGTTTTGCCGTATGCGTTATCTTGAAAAGAAAGAGATTTTGTGAGGTGTGAATGGTAAGAAGCTCGTGTGATTTGTATAACGTACTGTTTACTGGATTAGAAATCTAATTCCCCAGTGTTACAAAGGAAAGGGGCACACGTAGACTCCCCCTTCCCCTCTACTTCTCCCCCTTCCTTTTTTCATTCAAGAAAAACAGGCATTTTCACCTACATTGGGGTCACTGCATCTGAACTCCAGTTTATTACCATAGCAGGAAAATTTTCATATTTAAAGCAATAAGTAGAGAGAAAAGGATATAGAAAATTATGACTAAGTACAATGAGAGCTATGCAATTAACTTAAAGCACAGTTCTTCGAAATGTAGCTTAAGCCTAGGCCAGGTTTATGTACCTTCTGAACATGCGCAGTACCTTAGACTGCTCGGCCATCCTGACATTTTACGTACCTTTTCTAATCATTGTCTCTCCTTTAGTGAAATAATCTCTAAGTTCTTGCCAATTGTAATGTTTGCTCCTGAGATAGCAAACATTTGTCTTAATACTCTAGCCCTGGATATACCTCTAAAATGCTACAGAAAAGCCATGTGTATGTAGTATACAGACTTACAGTTCCAGCTACTCAGTAGACTAAGAAAGGAGAGTTATTCAAGCAAAAAAATTTGAGGGCAGCTTAAGCAACAGAGGAAGGCTGTATCTCAAAACAAAACAGAAAATCCCACAAAACAAAACAAAGCAAAATAAAATGTCTAGACAGGATGGCCCGAAGTTAGTTATAAAGTAAGTGTGGAAAATTGTTAATAAAGTTATTCACATGCTATCCACTAAAGATAACTACCTTTTATTTTGGTCCCAAGGTATTTTAAAACTGGTATATAATAATTTTAATTTAAAAAAACTCCAAGAGCAAAGGATGGAATTTTATGCAAGAGATATATTTTCTGAAATATTGGGTAACTCAATATATAGAAAACTCAAAACTGATCATTATTTCCACAGAATATATTCTCAGAAGACAATCTGAAGCCCACCATGTACTTTATTTCATATGTTTCATCTATGTCTATACGTGGTCTCCAGGAACTTATGACATTCTTGGGTTATTTGCACAGAGCATCATAGGGGCAGCTTGACCTTTATCTCATGTTTTGCCTGAGCACATCTAAGTTTTCTATTCCAAACTTATCTACTTTTCTGTCCTAATCCGGTGTTAGTGCAGGTACTATACCACTTAGTGAAGGCTTAGGAGATACTGTGATATGATGTACAATCATGCTTGGCTCTGGCCAGGGCAGATATATAGAAAACAGACACTACAACTACAAGTCTGAGTTCCTATGTGGAGAAAGCAATGCAGAGCACAGGATACTGGTAAGTACTGCACTGCCATGTGGCTGCAGCTTAGAGGGTCTATAGCCTACTACAGCTTTGAAATTATGTAATTTTAGCCAACTTCTATTCCATTTTTTTGGATAAGGCTTTATTAAAAACTTCAGTGTATATTAGCATTTCCATTTTGCATAATTAAATTTGTACAAAATGCATTTCTATAAAAGAAATGCTTCAATGTATGTTATAACATACTTATATATGACTCAGGTTTTTAAATACAATAGATTTCCTTGGCTATCTAGCTTTTGGAATAGGATGAGATGTAAGCATTAGTGTGGTAGCTTGTGCAGAAGGGAAAGAAATTAAATGTAAGTATGGAGAAATTCTTAGACACAGTTGAAGGAGAGCCCAAGACTAAATTTAATTTTCCCCCTTAGGCACATAGTCTGAGCAGGCCAGGACCTGGTTAAAGACACATATCCTCCATGTAAGCCCAAAATTTAGCTGATTCTGGGATGGCATGTGGGAAGTTTAGATGGTACCCAGGGCATTGGTGATGTCTTGAGAAAAGCACTGGTGACTCACACAGTACAGAGAGTGTAGCACAGGCAGGCAGTGCCAGACACAGCCCTGAGGAAAACAAGGAAGACAGCCACACTTCTAACCCTCTCTGCTATCTTAGGAGCTACCCGGACCAGTAGTTACTGAGAGAAGGTAGTAGGTCCCCTTGTTTTCCTGTGACCCTAATCCAGCACTCAGAGTTCCTGCATTGTGCCATAAGCCAACCATTCCAAACAATCTGGAAACCCTTCTCCATGCCCTCTTTCTAAAGGGCAGGAAGTAGAGAAGACAAGATTACCACCAGTCTAGAAACATGGGCAGGTGCACCACAAACTACCTGTACCCTCCCACCTGGCCCAATCAGAGGACGAGGGTGTTCCTCATGCCTGCACCCACCTGCAAGATGGAGTCACAAGCTACGATGGAAAATAGAGAAGCTACACTTTGGGCTGGGTCCTGATGAAAGCCAACGCAGACCACTGATGAAACTAAAAAATCAACAAATCAACTAAAAATGCATAAAAAGTCAGAAGTTCTTAGCTGACTTCTAGGGCTGCAAGTATCTGTGTCATGTGAGGCTGCGTTGATATAAGTTGGAGTCTAACCTTATCTAGTTTGGTTACACAGAGAAGGCTGAATAACAAGAAGCACTAATCTTTACTGCAATTCTCTCATTATGATGCATGCTCTGTAATCTGGCAGTATTTTTTGGCCTCTAAAAGAAATAAACAAACCTGGCACGGTAGTGCACACCTCTAATCCCAACTCTCAGGAGCTAGAGGCAGGAGTTTGAGGCCACCTGGTCTACATAGTGAGCTCCGGGACAGCCAGGAGTACATAGAGAGACTCTGTCTCAAGAAACCAAAACTAAAGTAAGAAAGAATTCTCTGACTTCTTGTGAGGCTCTAGTGAGGAAAATCACATGAGGAAGCATTAATTCAGTAGCCAAGGGCAGGTACTGAACAAACCCCCAGACAAGCCCCACGTTAACTTTGAACAGTCATGAGCAAACTTGTCATAAGGCAACCCTGCCAGTACAAGGCATGCTATGAGTTCCAAAGGACAGGGCTTGATTCCTGCCCCTTTGTGCTTTCATAGTAATTAGTCAGATTTTGATTTGACATTAAATATCTGCTTCTGCATTCTGAGTTCTCTCTGTCTGGAATGGCCTTCCACTTTAAATATGTGAAACTTTTCTTCCTCTTCTGGCCCAGATCTTGGTTGACTTTTATGGAATAGTTGTGAGTTATGGTGTGTGGATTTGCCTTCTTGCTGAGTTACAGTGCAGAGCAAGGGAACATTTAGGACAAAGGTGCTCTCAAATGCCAGGACAGCTTCTGCACATCCACTGCTGAGATTGGTTTTTCAAAACCTTTGGATTGTGGCATCTACAAATGGTTCAGTCCTAGGGCAAACCATTAACTCTGTCACCTGTGATCTGATCCTCCTGAGATGATCCTGAGAGAATGTCAGGAGATGAATGAAATCACCCAAATTGTTTCATTCCAAGATCAAAAGCAAAGGAGGCAGAGTAAGGCCCCAGGCTTCCCTTTGGATATTGGGAATCATTCCACTGCTTAGTGTAAGAGCACTCTCCTAGCATATATGAGGCCCTGGTTTGATCCCTAGTACTGTCAGAAAGTCAAACATACAAACCCCCAAAATCTACTGCTATGGCTATAGTTGGGTACTATTTAGTAGTAGCTATTATCAAGTAAAACAGTTTTAAAATTTAAAGAAGCAAGCTAATTTGCTTAGATGCAGCATTTAAATTACACATAGTCTTTAATTTTTTATGGTGTATTTATTTTGTATGCTTATGTATAACAATGCAGGTGAGGGTTAGAGGACAACTTGTGGGAATTCTACCATGTGGGACCCAGGGATCAAAATCAGGTCACTGGATTTGGTGACAAGTGCCTTTACTTGCTGAGCCATCTCACTGGATCCTGTACACACACTCCTTCATCTACATATCCACCTTAACTCAAGTCAGACAAGATAACAGCTGCACTTACAGAGGCTATAATTTTAAACAAGATAAGCAAAGTCATCCTCCCTGAAGAAATTTGTATCAAGGAGTCTTGAAGATCTGAACAATTTAATGTAAATGGTCCTTTAAGGCCATATTTGCCATACGTGAGCAAGTCTGCCTGGGTGCCTAAGAACCTTAGCATGCACTGACCAACTAGAGCTCATCGAGTCTGGGTCTATGACGGCCTTTTCTAAGGCCCTCCTGCTGAACACTGGACTTCTACACTGTAAAGGGGGATTCAGAGTGTGACGAGCATTTGTGGAGAAGGGGTTCAGCAGGAGTGGAAGAGGATGAGAGAAGCGTGGGTAGAGATGACAAAGTACACATAGGTATGAAATAACATGAAAGAAATACACGTATAGGTATGAAATGGCCAAAGAATTAAACATTAAATCACATCTGTTTGCAGTTTGTTTGCAGCCATGTCTGAAGGAGGAGGTGACTAGGGTACTTTATTTCCTCACACTTAATGGCAACGGACAGTAGGGTTATTATAAAGACACACCATTTAAGAACTTTGAAATAAGTCTGAATGCCAGAATATCAAGCTCCCCATTCTTTTTAAAGAACAGCACTGAAGGGAGATTAGGGGAGGCAGATTAAGACTGGCTACAACAATTTTCAGTTATATAGCAACATCTGCCCTTCAAAGTTTCTCTTCACATAGTCAACATCTGGGTCCTCTCTGAAACTCAAGTGAACATACCAGCCAGAGTGCTATGGGAATGTGTAGCTTGTGGGCAGAGTGCTAGCCTGCCATGTTTGAAGCCCTGGGTTTGAGTCCCTAGCCCCAGCATGGCATGAACCAAGAGTGCTCATATAGCCTTATAATCCCATCACTTGGGAGCTGTAGGCAGGAGGGTATGAAATCCAAGGGTATCCTAAGCAGCTTATTGAGTTGGAAGCTACCCTGGGCTACATGAGACCCTGCCTCCAACAAACTCAAACACAAAGTCCCAACTGGAGGAGAAACAAATACAGAATGACATGGAAGGGCTGAGCCTCCAGGTCAAAGCCCTCCTGTCCACAAGCAGAGCCCTGTGAGCATCAGGATCCCTTTCTCCCAAGCAGCCAAGAGCACCATCAGCAGGGCCCTGGATCATGTGTGCGGCCTGCCAGGCACAGGCTGCCACCTCTGGCCCTTTCTACAGTGAAGTCACCCTTCCAATAGGAAATTTCCACACTAAGAAGCTGGTCTGAAGAGGAATTTCTGGTTTGGCCTCTGACAGACTCTCTACTTCTGATTTGGGACAAATAAGCCTCGTTTTTACACAGTTTACCAATGTTGTATGTGATGTGATGACTCTGGGATCTGAAGCAATATTTTAATCCCTCATAATTTTGGTTCTCTACTGAGTAAAATGGAACAGACGTAGTTAAGTTATGTCCATTTTTAAAGAGCTACAGAACTATCAGCATAATTGTCACATGGCACACCATCAGTTTCTAGCCAGGACAGACTGGCAAATTTTAAGGGGGCAGAGTCTCTCAGAACTTGTGCCAAGAGGGAAGATACTCCCTAGGAAACTAAAAACTACCACAGAGAATACTGTAACCCTCCCAAAGGCACAGAATTAACTCATCTTTCTGTTTATAACCACGGCTACTTAATAACTGACTTTGTATTTCAACACTGTAATTATCCAGGCTTTAGAGTAACAAGAATTTCACTCCCTCCACATAACCCAAGACTTATGCTAGGCCTGGAGTGCTGGAACTTGCCTATCATTCCAGCACCCAAGAGACTGAAGCGTGGGATTATGTGTTGGAGGCCAGCCTGGGCTACCAGTGTTTCAACAACACCAAACCAAGCAAGCAAGTAAACAAAAAGACTCATGCAACATGATTTTCACAGGCCCAGAGTGAGAATTCAGCCATGTTATTATCAGTGCATGGTGAGGATGCTATGAAGTCTACTTTGTCAAAACTATTCTGATAGATGCACCAACCCACAGCCCACCTACCAGTATTTACTTACTAAGAGGCCCCTATACATTTGTAGTTACCACACTGTGATGGAAATACAGGCCAGTCTCCTCTCACAACAGCCTTTCTCACAATCTTGGCTCCTATCACTACAAAATGGACATGTGGAAGAGTGCAGGGTGACAGCTGGCCCCTAGTCTCACTCATTTAAGAAAACAGACCTCATGATGAATTAGGATGATAAAATGACTTATTTTTAACAAGGCAGACCTGGATGACCTGGTCACTGCATAGGTACTTTCCTTCCTTCCCTTTATTCTGTTCTTATGACACAGGGCTTGAACCCAGGGCCTCATACATGCTAGGTAAATTCTCTACCACTAAGCCACATCCTCATAGATCCCTTTTAAAGAAAGCATATAGGAAGCAATGAATAAAAATGAAACTAAGAAAGAAAATCAAACCTATGGAAGCAGAAACGTCCCCTATGCTCTACCCCCACCTCCAGGGTCTCCATCCCAAGTCTAATTGCCGACTATCAGAGTACAATGAAGCTGAAGCACACTTACTCAGTGCTGTCTGGATATCTTTTTCCCCATTTTTCACTTCTGTCAAAAAGCCTTTTAAAAATTTGAGACCTCTAAAATAAAAGAAAGAAGGAATATTATCTTCAAAGTTCAGGTGGCAGTTGCTAGCTTTTATTTAATTGTCTCAGGCAAGGCAGGGAGCAGGCAGGATGGACAGAGGCTCTTTGTTATCAGTTTCCTATTAGAAAGCACTGGAAGCTGGGTGTTGAACACCCAGAACAGCCTCCAAAGTCACAGAGAAACCCTGTCTTGAAAAAACCAAAAGGAAAAAAAAAAAAGAAAAAGAAAAAGAAAGAAAGCGCTGGATACTCTACTCACCTTTTCTGACATTCCTAAAGTAGTTTTTTCAAATTATAGTGCTATGACTGTGGCTTTGCACCATCTAGAATTCATTAGAAATGAAAATTCTAGAACCCCACACCAGATTTATGGGTCTAGAAACTCTGGTTTTGGGTGTTTTACCAGGCTTTGCCACTGGAGTGGAAAGCCACTCACTTAAAGAGAAACTCACTGGCTCTGCTGTCTAGAGTTCTGATCTTACAAATACTCCCAACATTAACAGTATCTATCACCATCAAGCTGATGTTCTCTTCACCACACTTTCTAGCAGGTCTGACCACTGGTTAGACCCTGCATTCAAAGGCAACAGTGAGCTGGTAACATTTCAGCTGAGCTGAGCTTGACTGAGCTGCACCTGCTCCACTTGACTCTTGTGGCTCTCACCTCTTCAGCCACAAGAGGGCATCGGTGGCCGAGTTCCTAACCTGAGCTACATCAGCCTCCACCTCATGCAGCACTATCTTCTGGAGGGTAGTAAACTCTTCCTTGTTGGTTATGTACTTCTGATTTACCTTCTGGAAAACAAAAACAAAAACAGGACAGCTGCCTAAGATGAAAACTTAACATTAGCATCAGGACAGTATTCAAATCTATAAGCAAGAAGACTTCTAAGAAACCAAAGTCAACCCTTATGTTTTTTTTTTTTTTTTTCTTTTTTTATTAAATTATTAATATTTTCACATATACTTTCCCTCTCCCTCTCCCTC